CGCTCGGCCGAAATTCTCTCCTTCCGACGCCCGGGCGTAGCTCATTATTATCATGGACTCCGTTCTACTGTGGAGGAACCAACATTCGGCTTCCGAGGTGCAATCTCCGAGCGAGCCACTAAGCCCCCACGTCGGTAGAAGTTGACTTCTCTGAGAATTCATTCCCTGGCGGAATTGATTGTATTATTAGAAAGTTCTTGGACTTGCTATTGTCACGTCCGCTGTGGTAAGCGCCATTAGAGCATCTCATAACTCCGAGCATCGCTTGCTACGAACTAAACACAGACGACGGTTCGCATATTAGTCCTCGAACGTGAGTGTACTTTGGCTCGTGGCTACAACCTCAAGCATCATGATCAATGGGGAATTATCGCCACTCATTGCGATCCTGCTGCTGTGAATACGCCGCGGCGCACCGAGCGCCCAACCGAACCGCCCTCGCCGAGGAACTCCCGACTTGCGCTGTAGGAACCGAATGTTCCCCGTTGACGGCAGACAAATGGGACACTACGTGTGCTAGCCAGACACGGCAACGTAGACCTGTAGAAGTCCGTCAAATGCCGACTCGAGGAATTCGTTCAATCGGTGCCCCGGTGTCTCTCAGATCCGAGACTCCCGATCAAAGACCGAGTGATCGGCTCTCACTCGGGAAGAGAAAAGTTGAACACGTTTCCCACATGCTGTGACATTACAATTGTTCGCCCAACGACGTGGCTCGGAGCTGGATCGCAGTCGGTGGGTCTCAACAAGTTTTGGGAGACTTGTGCTCTCTGGAGCGTAGTATTCGTGTTCGACAGCAAAGTTCTCTCGTTCAACGGTGAATTGACGGAGAGACTATCGTCTGGCTCCCGTAACTTTGGGAGCGGTAAGTTCAAAAGTTTGGATTGCTCTCCGGAGGCCTGATGTAGCGGTAGCGGCTTCAAGAATGCCACTCCATCGCTTATGTCGGTGAGGGCCGTAGAGAAGGAACTTTCAAGGCTGCATTGACCGCGGCGCTCTCGCCCACGACGACTGTGGCCGGGAGACGTTGGGAAGAGAACTTTATGGGATACTGATGGTGCCGAAAGTCGGATAATTTCACATTTTGTAGGCGGGAGAAAGCCGCTTCATATTGTCTGCTCGGACTGGTTCCTGCGGCAGGAGCGGGAGCTCCCTCGGAGTGGTCGTCGAGCTGATTTTTCTGGTCGGAGATCGACGAGCGACGGCCAGACTCGGGATGCAAATTTTCGCAGCTTGGTTGTCTTAAAGTGGAGTTCGCCGATATTTCAGGTCGGTGAATTTCTGATATTCGTGAAGTTGATTGAGGCCGCATGTCCGGTATCCAGAGCATCGCCCTCCTCCTCCTCGGAGGCCACTTCTAATAACTTTCGATACTGCGTCGGACTTCGTTTACTCAAGTCGACTCAATCGACTGGTTGCAAATATTTGCAGTATTCTAAGCTAGGTGCCGCCGTCGAGGTGCGATCCGTCAAGTGAAGACACCTTCGGAGCGCCTCGCCCCGAGTCCGAATCTAAGTTCGATGTTCCGATCAAAATCGAGTTCCCTTGTCGGCGTAGTGGTCGAGACCATCTGCCGCACTGAAGTAGGCGGAGCATCGCGGTTACTCACGCGAAAAGGTCTTCCTCAAGTGAAGCTCCCAGCAGCAAGCTGTCGATTGAAGCCTCTATTCCTGACTATCGACAGAAGGCATTATATTGCGAAGTGAGCAATCCTCACAATGATAGTCGTACTCGTCGAGTGCGGAATCCCCCGCCCCCTCCGACCGCTAGTGATCGAGCAATTGGCGCTCGTTGCGATCGAGAACGAGTGCAGACGATGCCTGTTTGCGGAGGTCTTCCTCAAGCAACGTCTGCGAACACATTGGATTGCTCATTCGTCGCTTCGATTGGTTTGATCCGCTGCATCAGCCACAGACGTATCGTGTTGCGACGAGTCGCGAGCGACGGACCGACCGCCGTCCGTGTCAACTTCATTTGCACGCATCGTTTATCGCTACCACCGAGAGGAAGATATCATTATCCGTATCGTATTCAGAATCGTTGTCGTCATCACAACGATGAATATTCATTTCTAGCGTTGTCATCATGATGATACACCGAGTTTCGGCAGACTACGTAGTCTACGGCGATTGAATCCAAACGCGGATCGAATTTGTCAACGACCTGTCACGCTAGTGGCGAAGCGGCGCTCTTTCACCAAGTCAGCGTGTCGCTAAACTTGACAATTCTTCAACGTCATAGTCGTCAGAGTCGGTCATCGTCGGAAGCGTCCGCTCCATGGATCGATAATAATCGACAGAATATCCATCCATTCATGGCTTAGAGCTGTCCTGCAGAGCATTTCGCCGATACTCATGGAAGAGTGGGGCGACCCTCGAAGCCCTTCAATGGAAAAATCTCGAACGTCCGCGTGAAATATGTACTCGAGCTTCAAGGATGCCGGCTGCTGTCCACCTCAGCTCCCATGAACAGGTCTCTTGAAGAGAGCTGGAATCGCGTCCTCGTCGGCGCACCGTGTCCGGAGACGATACTCTGAAGTATTGATAGCGAGCATAAACATCGGCTGGAGTTGCCCGCCCGGTTTTTTCCGCCTCAGCTCTCGTGTTATCGGATCTTTCAATCCGTAGATGGAGTCGTGGCTGCCCGGATTGGCATCATATCAGGTTCGCCGGTCCAAAAGCAGCACCGGTCGTTAATACTTATAATAACAATAAATCCTGGAGTTCTCAGGACATACAAAGCCTATAATAACACGAATAGAGCCCACTCCAAAATATCGCGATCGAAAAGAAATGCGCTATGCCCCTCCTTCAATTCATCAAACAAAGCGAATTTCGAACATTCTATCCGAGACTCCGGGTTGCTGATTCGCGACGCAAAGCCGTCGTACCTTACGTGGACCCGATATCAAAGGTCTTGTCGAGGAGGTAGCCGAGTTTTCTGCATCATTATAGTTCTCTTACCCGAATGAGGATGTGAATCAGGGGATTAGGTCAGAAGACTGAGAATCGATTATTACGCTTCCAGATGATACACTCTCTCCCGGACGCCCGGCAGCCCTAAGCTCGTCGACGGTAAGTGATTTATTCTGCTTGTGGTGGGTTCCCCTTGCCAATGACAAGTCTGCCTGCTTCCTACAAGTAACAGCCCACGAAAGCTTTGATCTCGAGCTAGAACACTCGGCTCCCTACTTGTAGAACGAATGGAGCTCAGATTAGCCTGTCATGATTGTGTCGGTCACAGGGAAAGAACACAAGTTTTTTTGCGCGCTCTTTCTCATAACCCACTTCAAGGTTCCCGTCTCCCGAGTCGTCGTGATTTCGTCTACCTCCTGACAAGCTCTTGACTGCGCGGACTCGCTTCTATAGTTCTCCCAGCACGTCACAATCATTTGCATAGCGGGAGACGAATGAACTCACTTGATTTCGAATGAGACGGAAGTAGTTGCTTCTCGAATGTATTCCGAAGCGAGGTCTCGTTGGAAAGTAGTAACACGAGACGAAAACACTTTTCCGACACCCGAGAATCCCGCGCGGGAGAACACCCTCCCCCCTGCCCCGTTCCAATTCGTTTTCCGAGCATGCCGATTCCGATAGAAGAAGATTCGGATATGTCTTGCTTCGATTTTCCCGCCTATTAGGGTGATTCGAAATGCTCACCGTGCATTTCAGAATCATATCGTAGTCTAGGCCTGTGCCTAGAGCTGCTGGCACGCTTTGTGAAAATCAGTCCCTGATAGAGAAATTTTATTCGAATCGCTCTCCGAAGTCTCCTGGGGCTTGACTGAGTTCCAAGCGGATGTAGCGCTAGTGTTACGCTAGAGCCAGCAGTTGATCAGAGAGAAGCCCTCGGCAACGAGCAACCACCGGAGGTGAAGATTCGAAGACTCGAAAAATGTCCGTCGGAACTTCGCCTCGGTGGTGCGCTACCTGTGTGTGACGATGATGATGACGACGACGACGACGACGATGGTGTAAATGACGATGACGACGTCGACAGCGGGAAAGTGCAGAGAGCGCGCGAGCGAGCGACGGAGCTCAAACCTCGAGAGAAATTACTTCGATCGTACAACGAATATCCCAAGTGCGAGAGGGGCCCGAGAGAGAGCCTCGGGATCTTCTCCCGGATAGGAACGGCGTACCTTCCCTGTCTACGGAACTTCTGCGAGGAACCACCCGGATCGACGGATCGGTTTGCGACTGACGGGATGCACCGATATCGTGTGGCGAAATCGAAGATTCGAATCCACCACATGGAGTTCCCGAGAAGATATGAGCATGGCCGGGTGACTTACTGCGAAAATGTCCCAAATATGTGACAGCTGGACCCTTCGGAGAACCTGGGAACCCCGAGAATCTCCTCAACGGCGAGCATCGAGGAGGAGCAAAGTCGACGGCGAAGGGAATGGCAAAGCCGGGGAAAAACCGAATAACCGCTTTTGACGGTTGGCCGATGTTATGCTTGACAAGCTTCGCTTGTTGTGTCTTTTGTTGTGGCGAACGAGACATGGCCCGAGAGCGCCCAGATGCGTAAAACGTGTTCGCTTTCAGCTGAGTTGAGCTAGTAGCCGACGATGTTTAGTAGTTCTTCTCTGTGACTGAGCCGCTCCGCCGCGAACGAAGAAGGGACCCCTGGATGGCAATCGATCGATTCGAATAAAAAGCATACCGACCCGCTTGGTTCCTAATGAGCTCATGAAGGGAGGCAGAAAATGCCCGGGACCCACTAACAGGTTCCCTTCTTCGTTCGCCAGACTCAACTGGAAGCAGTTGTTCGGCGGCAGAAGAGCACATTCAGCTCGAAGGGACGATAATTCCCACCAGATCGAGAGGATCCGCGCCGCAGAGCTCGCCATGGACAGGCGCGAGCTGTTACGCCTCTTCAACCTGACGGCGGAAGAGGCGGACATAATGTTACGGGACAATCAAACGATGTACGAGCTGCTCTTCCCGCAAGAAGAACTCCCGAAACCGATGAATCTCACTCTGCTCATCCGGATGATGTTCTACGTAATCTACACGGTCATTTTCGTCATCGGAATCGCCGGCAACCTGCTGGTCTGCTTCATCGTCATCCGGATCCCGTCAATGCAAAGCGTGACCAATTACTTCATAGCCAATCTGGCCGTCTCCGATATTCTGATGTGCGTTCTCGCGGTGCCGTTCACTTCGGCTCACATAGTTATGGGCACTTGGCTCTTCGGCGAGACGTTATGTCACATTGTGCCTTTTGCCCAAGGTGTTTCGGTTTACGTGTCGACGTTCACGCTGGTGGCGATCGCCATCGATCGCTACATCGTAATAGTTCACCCGTTCAGCAAGCGGATGCAGCTCCGTTGCTGCTGCGTCACGATCGCGTGCATCTGGGCGGCCGCGTGCGTGTTCACCTCACCGTACGGAATCTTCATTCAACATTTCCAAGTGGCGCGGGGGACCTACTGTCAAGAGAACTGGCCTTCGGAGAACAGCCGGCAGTTCTTCAGCATGGGAACAACGATTCTCCAGTTTCTACTGCCGCTGCTTGCGGTCGGTTTCTGCTACATGCGAGTCTGTTGCAAATTGCGTCAACGGGTGAGGAAGAAGAGCGCGCGCGCCGGTCGAGTACTCGAACAACAGAGAACCCGACGGACGAACCGGATGCTCATCGTCATGGTGGTGGTGTTCGGCGCCTCGTGGATGCCTTTGAACGTGCACAACTTATGGCTGGACTTCCATATTCCGGCAGCATCGTTTTCGGCGTCTCTCGACAACGTGATTTTCTTCGTCTGTCACGCAATAGCCATGAGCTCAACCTGCTACAATCCGTTCTTGTACGCGTGGCTCAATGAGAACTTCCGGAAGGAATTCAAACTAGTCCTACCGGGCTTCCGCGCCTCGATCCTGTCGCGGTCCATATGTCGCAGCGATTCCCAGACGAAAATCGAGCGAACACAGAATGGTAACATCAATCAGCTGGACAACACCGTTCAAGACTCGTATTTACCGAAATCATCAAATTGCGAGCCCTCGTCAACGACGTTACCAACGCTCATATCCGTCCGCTACAGCGCGACAGAAGACCAAATTTTCCTGACGGTGCCCGTTTCGGCCGCTTCGCAAAAATCCCCGGCAGCCGAACTTGTCTAGAACAACGTCCCGTGCTGCCGCGGTCGAGAGTTCGTCGCCAGTGATCTCACACACCCGGTACAAATGAAGTCGTTCACGAATCATGGTCGTTCTCAAGATCAGATCTTCTCAAGAATTCGCCTAGTTCACGGTCACTTCACCCGAGTATAATTAATTCATCGTTCAATCGATCATTGCTCCATCATCGTCGGCGAATAATGCTCATGCGTCATCGACTTCTCTGTGAGACAATCAGTCGGTCAGTCGCTAGATCCATGTGACTCAAGCCATTAGTCGTAAGAGGCATCTCTTTTATGATTTCTAATTTTTTTCTTTCAAAACCTGGTCGCTTGGTATGTTTGTGTCTTCGTGCATCTTCCTATCAGATGCCGCGCCGATTGCGAACTAACGCTCGCTCCTTGACGATTACAGATGGAGAACGTCGTCGATGTCAGCGCTCTGCTCGACAGCCTCTCGGATAACGAGACGCGCGAGGCTCTGCGGATGCTCGAACTGAATGTCTCAATGAATGTCCCATATGCCAACCACCAGGATGAGCGACCCTCTATATTGGTGCAGTTCATTCTGACAATCGTCTACGCCATGATCTTCGTCGTGGGGGTTTCGGGAAATCTGTTGGTTTGTTACGTCGTCATTCGGAACAAACATATGCGAACGGTGACCAACTACTTCATCACCAACCTCGGCCTGGCGGACATAATGCTGTGCACTCTGGCCGGTCCGATAACGGTGACCGATTACCTGCTGAACAACTGGATTTTCGGCGAAACGCTCTGCCATCTCATCCCCTGCGCGCTAGGCGTTAGCGTCTATCTGTCGGTGCTGACGTTGATGTCGATTGCCATCGACCGCTACTTCGTGATTTTGCATCCTTTCCGAGATCGAATGAGGAAATTCACATGTCTTATGCTGATCGCATTCACGTGGGTTGTTTCCGTGCTGCTGACTCTACCCTACGGAATCAACATGGATTATCGACCGGCCACCGAAGAGACCGGTCGGGCCTACTGTTTCGAAGCCTGGCCGGAGGACGGGCATCGCCAAATGTTCACGAGTACCACGGCCATCGTGCAATTCATGGCTCCGTTTGTCGTCACGGCATTCTGCTACATCAGGGTCTGGTATCGGCTCCGAGACCGGAGCATAAACAAGCCGGGGGCCAAGTCCGTTCTCAAAGAGGAACTCGACCGCAAACGCAAAAGACGCACCAACCGAATGCTGATCGCCATGGTTTTGATCTTCGGCGCCTCGTGGCTGCCCATGAACATGCACCACCTCATGGTGGATTTCAATAAGGCATATGCGGTCTGGCGACACGCGAACACGACGTTTTTCATCACTCACGCCTTCGCGATGAGCTCCGCCTGTTATAACCCGTTCCTGTATGCGTGGCTCAACGAAAACTTTCGCAAAGAGTTCAAACTTGTATTGCCTTGCTTCTTCTCGAAGGCCATCTCGGTGAGAACCAGTGTGCGCAACAACAACACACCCGCCGACGCTCCCGAAGCTACCGCGGTCAACGGGGCTGAGCAAAGCTGTCAGAAGCCGCTGCTCGCCCCGACGCAATGCTCCGATCTCATGGACTCGAAAGTCAGTGGTATCCGGACAAAGACCTCGTGTATCACGGCCAACCTGATGACGACATGTGATGTGTAATTTCGACTGTCCGAATACGGACGTTGCGGATCTTCAATAATCTACGCTGGTGCTCAGCTCTCTCCCAGGGTTTTCGGAACACGAGCGTCTGCCGGTGTCGCAGCCGGCGCTGGCGTGTCGATGACGATTCTTGCTCACGGTTGGAAAATCTCAGCGAAAGTCCCTACACTTCCCCCGCCCGGTGACTTTCCCTCGTTGGAAAGAGATGTTAGAAGGGATTTTAAATGGCAGCGGCAAACCCGAGCCCCTGCCGCCGGGGGCAGTCTTGCCGCCCTGGGGGAATGCTCTTCGGAACTTCTCATTCGGATGTGGCCGACTGGATACAGGTAGAAGTTTGCCGATTCGAGGAACATACACCGAGGGATGGATCATTCCCATGGCGGTAATCTATATAGCCCTCACCCCGGATGAGCAGATGACGGTATCTGTGATGTAAAGAGTCGATGCCCTACTGTGAGAGCTTCGGATTCCTGAAAAAACAGTCCACCCCGTCACATGAGCAGAAGGCGACGGAAAACGGAATCAATTACGCGATCGCAGGCAGCTATAAGCGAAACCATCCTTCAATCAGGAAGTGCGCGCAAGAGACCTCCATCAGGACAGCGATGGAAACAGGATCAGCCGATCCGCGATCGAGTCGGGAGAATGCCTGAGATTCACCAGGATCCGAAAGCTCCACGGGAATCCGGTCCCCATTTCGAAGCATGCACAGGCTCTTGGCTCAACAACGCGACACTATACCAACGGGTGCGATTAGCGCCTTCCGCTGAAAAATCTCGATTGCGGTGGATAAGTACCGAGATGGGAATAATCTCAGGAGAACTATTCGCTTCGTCGCTCCGGAAATCGCTTGCCGTCAGGGCGAATGTACATTCTGAACATATGAGGCAGCGGAAACCTGAACTTGTTAAATATGAATCACGAAATGCAGTGTACGTTCGAATATTCTAGGAAATGAAAGCACCCCATCCGGAGACAGTCCCCAAAAGCACCCACCCACCCATCCATTCCATTCGTTCATTCGAAATTCGACTCACCTTAGACCTCTCTCTGCCGAGATCAGGAGCTACATCAGATCGTTGTGACACACACCTCCAGCGACCCTTCTCGCGCGGAGCCATCGCAGAACTAATCCCCCCCCTCCGAACCTTTATTTTGTTCCATCTCTCAGTCAGAGAAGCCTCAAGTTTATCGCAGAAACGGTGCTGCCGCCGATGAATTCCGTGATTGTGAGTGCATGAATAATCCGTGTACATCTATTTTTCTAATGACTGTCTCCCATTGTTACTAGTGTATTTCGGAGGCCACTTGAGAATCCACCATCTTTTTATTGAACGAGTTACGGTCGGCGATGCAGTCGCCTCCGGGTGAATGATTTATAAATGATATTGTGTAAGTAACACCAATCGTCTCGCCTCGTTTCTGGGTTATTACTCCGAGTATTCGTACCTTAACGACTGAGAGTGTCGGATGAGATGTAAATAAAATATACGAGGATTTATTAACCCGGTTGAACAAGCACGTATATTTATTCATGCATGTTCTTGTTCCCGCCGTCTGATGGAATTCTCCCCGAGCACACCAAGTAAGCGGAGGAACTGCTCGAATCGGCCGACGAAAACGAAGCGGTCCGAGACGTAAAATATTAAACTCGGACCGCTCTCCTTCGTACAACGACCATGCTCCCGCAAAGCTGGCAAAGCTCATCGAGTGAGTATGTTGAGATGTTGACCAGACCATCTCCAGATTGAGGCATCTCCCTATCTGATCTGGAGCTTGGCCAACGACAAACTACGCAATCTGGAACACGCTCCAAATTGATGTTACACGAACTCGTTCCATGCTCTCCGCCTAATTCCTCATTCACTCAAGCGTCAACGATCATGTCCCCCTCCTCGACTGAGCTCCACGGCTCTCGAAACGTCCTCTGCCGACGAAAGCGTCGCCCGGATGTGATGGACGCTTAAACCACCGGATTATTGCATGAAGAAGTTTCCTCGGTGTCGTCATCGGTGAGAGCTCGAGATTATTTCGAGTGTCCCTCTTAAACATCGAGGACAGGATGGATTAAGCCAAGCGAAGACTCCACGAGTATTACGGGAGTCTCAGAGGACTAATTTAATTGGGGTTTGTGTGCCGGCCGAGCGGACGGATGATCAAAGCGGATACAATTGATCCGTTCACCTATTCGCTAGTTCCCCTGCGCCCCCATGCGTCGAGTTCTCTGGGTCTGGTCGCTTGGCCTCTGTAGACGACAGCTCCTCATTTTTTCGGAATTCGGCCCTGATCGGACGAAGAATGGCAAGAAGTGTGAACAGAGCTCTCTGTTGATTTCGAGATTTGCGGAACGACAGGAGGTGAGAAAGAAGAAACACAGGTAGTTCCCTGGCTTAGATTCGGCCTTCGGATCGGACAACAGAGAAATTGGGGAAAGATGGCTCCCTCTCTGTTTGAGTCCCATACCTGAGCCTCCCAGAAGTGCCGTCGGGAAGGGATCGGACGACACTTCGAACATCATGGGACGAGCTCACGCCAACAAGCCTCACGGCGTATGCAGGTTGAAAAACTTGAAGGCTCGGCTACACAATCGTTTGAAGTTCTGGAGATAGAACATTTTGGGAGCCTTTCCGACTGGCCCACATTCCAGTCGATTCACGTACCTTCACTGTGCTCATGCTCACGTCACTCCATGCAGACCTTTCGCGACGTGGCTGCGATTCCGTTGACAATCGGTCGTTCCTTCACCTTCGCCCAGAAACATGCAGAGCGTCAGTCCTGGCGGACACCCTGCCGGATATCCCGACCGACCGACGCCACGTCGCTCAGTTACCGGCGAAGCTCCAAAACCCCGGACCTCAGTCCCGCGGGAGCTGAGCTGCAGCTCTTGAAGAGCTGAGCCTGCGAAGTAGAAGGGCCAACAAGTCGCGACTCGCGAATTCCCGTGCTTAGAATTTTTCGAGGAAGACAAAACGATTTCTTTGTGAGAGGATAGTGGAAGTAGATTTTCTGTTTCTCTGACAGGCGAATGTCGCCGTCCGCGTGGAGCACCGAGATTCTACACGGCTCGATCAAAACTTCGATCTCGTAGGATCGAGAAAACCGGAAGAACGCTTTCATCGAGGACATTCTGAGTCATCCTTTGAGAGATCGACGCATTCATGGATTTCGCCCATCGTTCCCAAGCTAGAACTTTCCTTTTGAGCCGAAGCGGAATGCACTAAAACTGGTGGTGCATCTTCCTCCGTCTCGTTGAGCTCGAATTCCGGGCAATGTGTTCACGGTATCAGTAAACCTTAGGTAGGGTCTCCAGAGCGATGCGTGTCGTTGCAAAACATAGTCTACACGACAGGGGATCGCGTTTCGCCGAGGGCACTCGATCTCTCTCGGCCAGATATCGTGGATCCGCTAAGTCTCATCCAGGCAGCGACAGAAGAGTGCGAGATCGGAGTCCGACCTACGGGAGCAACGGAGAGAGGATTACGACAGAACTCGATAAGGCGATAGCCGTTCCTGTACTTTAGACATTGCTGCAGACTCGCTGTTTTTTCAACCGCTCCTCTAGGTGGAGACTGGAGACACGCCTACTTTATCCGTGCCGGCTACCAATAGAACGGTAGTTGTAGCTCGACTCTCTAAATGAAAATTCGTCGAGTCTCCGAGCTCGCTCCAGGCCCTGATCCACTCTCATTTCATTTCGACGTGAATCGGAGCAGGATTCTCATCGGCGGTGACGGCGGAGAAAAGTATTGGACTGTCCACAATGGATAAGAGAGCAAAGATCACGTGTCAATGGACGGATCTCCGGTTATTTCTCCCGAATCACTCATAATTCGCTCGCCGCAGAGACCATGAATCTTTCAGACTCCCAGGCACCTCGATCTCCGGAAAGTCACGATTCCCCTACTCTTTAGATTCTAGAACTTCTTTTCTTTCCGAGCACCCGAGGTAGATCTAAGACGTCGCTCATCCTGAACTCTGGAGCACACAGCATTTCTCTGCAAAATGGATGGTTCGTGGTCGAATAATAGTCCAATACGATCTCGTCAGGACCGCCTTGGGGTCGCCTCATGGAATCTTCCTGAGAAACGAATCTGCTTCTGGAGATTTTCCAGATCCTGGCAGAAGACGATGTCTCACTCGAACATTGAGGTTCGGGCCTGTTCAAAATTCCGTACTTTTTCCGCGATTCTGATCCCAATCCGATCTCCAGCGGAGCTCGAAGAACGCAGACTATCCTCATACCCATCTAAAATTGTGAAGAGCATTCGTCCGGAAAAACGTCGCGCCGATCGTATCAAGGCAGGACGGATCGTCCAGGAGCCGTGAGCCGAAACCTTCTGATTGATGGTTGGTTGTGAGCACTGAATGGTTTGGAACTTCATTGAGTTCCCACGGACTGAGCTCCCGGACGACCTCAGAGATATCACGACGGCGACGATGTGACCACGTGACGTCGACAGGATGCATGATATTCAGGACGAGTCCCATTCTTTCCGTAGGTCCGAATCGTAGACCCGTATCGCCGTAATAAATGTGCTATTCGATAAATTCTTTCGAGCAAAACGCAGCGGCATCCCTCTGCGATCCGAGCTTTCCCCCGGCGCGACATCACTTCGAACATGTGAAATCTCCCGAGAAAGTCGAGTGACTAGCCGATTCGGAGCCAAATCCGATAACGGAATTTTTCGACGGCTCGAGCGCATTGTCATGCGAGCGATGTGCTCGGGTGACCGACGATTTAGCAATCAGAGGCTTACCCGAGCACAATACGGAATTACTAATCGTCCCCTCTCTGGCACCCAATTTCCTCCGGCTGCTGAACGGTTATGTTCTGAATATCCACCTTCGAAAGATCCGAAGATTCCTATCCTGCCCCAGGCGCGAGATTGGCTCTGATCAGCTTAGGAACATTCGGGACCGATAGGAGCATTCGTCGGTTGATCCCCGTGAACGCTCCAGTCACGGAGGACCTCTTTCGCAACCAACGGAGACAGTCGATC